TGTGTTACTGTCTTCCAGCAGAAATATTTCTAATCACTTCTGACAAGTCTGTTGTTGTTTATTTTGCCCCCTTTTGATTCTTAGTGGGAGGCGTAAAGAGTCATGGTGTTGCTTCTCTGGGACTTCTGCACAGAGAAGGGACCATAAAAATAGAATTCAAGTGGTGAGACGGGGGCCGAGGCTGGCTCCAAGGAGTGAAATGGCAGGGCTGGAGCGGGGGGCCGGGTACCCTGGCGAGAGGAGCCCGGAAGGTCCTTGCAGGGAGTGGAACTGAGGTGCTCACGCGGGTGTCTGCAGATAGGAGGGCGGACACTTCTGCCCGCTGTGTGCTTCCCTTTCCTCCGGTCGAGTTCAAAGGTGCCGGACGCAGCAGGGACTGGTTGTCTGTCCCTCACTGAGCCAACCTGCGAACCCGCCTGCTGCTCTGGGGTTACAAGTGTAACGAGGTCTTTAATTATTGCAGGCTTAATCACGGGAATGACATCTGACTGGGAGACATTCGCACGGAAAACACGCTGGCCGTAGAAAACAAGGCCTGACCCAACGTCGTCGTTGTTTTTTCTTTTAAACAGCAGAAAGTCGAAATCTCCTCCTAAAGTGCCGATCGTGATTCAGGACGACAGCCTTCCCGCAGGTCCCTCCCCGCAGATCCGCATCTTGAAGCGGCCGACGACCAACGGCGTCCTCAGCAACCCCCACTCCGCCAGCCGGCCGGCCTTCCCCGTCAAATCCTTGGCGCAGAGGGAGGCGGAATACGCGGAAGCCAGGAAACGAATATTGGGCAGCGCGAGCCCCGAGGAAGAGCAGGAGAAACCCATTCTCGACAGGTGAGAGCGGCCTTGCGTGCCGCGGCAGCGCCGCCTGTGCTCCTCGCTGGCACCTTCCTAGGGGGGACGAGCTGCTTGAAGGGCAGAGTGGGGCTGGGAGGAGAAGAGAATGCTTCGTTGGCCAGCAGGGCATCCTAAATCTCAAAAGATGGGGGTGTTCAGGGAGGCACGAGTGCCTGAGAAGGCCGTAGAGGTTGTCTCAGAGCCTCGGGAGGGCGTGCTGGGGGTGTAGGGAGGAGCGTGGGCAGCCAGAGTTACCCTGGCGGGGCGTTTCCTCGTCTTTCCCGAGGTTTTTTTGACATAAGGGAGCTGCCGTGGGCAGGAGAGTCGAGCTTAAGCCCTAGAAACGAAAGGAAGGAGCTGAAGCGCGAGTTCCGCGCCGCGTTCCCCGTCCCAGGGAGCGACGCGTGCCCGGGGCCGGGGCCGCGGGGCCTTCCGCAGCCCTCTTCCCTCCCCCTCCTCCGCTCTCCTTTCTCCTCGCAGGCCGCCCAGGATCTCCCAGCCCGAAGACACCCGACAGCCCAACAATGTGATCCGACAGCCCCTGGGTCCCGATGGCTCACAAGGCTTCAAGCAGCGCAGATAAACGCGGGCGAGAGGCGCTGCTGCGG